TTTTTTTTTTTTGAGATGGAGTCTCGCTCTGTCGCCCAGGCTGGAGTGCAGTGGTGCGATCTTGGCTTACTGCAACCTCCACCTCCCGAGTTCAAGAGATGCTCCTTCCTCAGCCTCCTGAGTAGCTGGGACTACAGGCGCCCGCCACCTCGCCCGGCTAGTTTTTGTATTTTTAGTAGAGACGGGGTTTCAGCATGTTGGTCAGGCTGGTCTCGAACTCCTGACCTTGTGATCCGCCCGCCTTGGCCTCCCAAAGTCCTGGGATGACAGGGGCGAGCCACCGAGCTCGGCCTTTTTTCTTTCTTTCTTTTTTTAATGATCCGTGCGTTCTGTGGCGTTATCAGAGATTTTTTTTGCCCATCCGAAGGCCCCAGAGTGCAACTTCCCAAAAATCAGAGATGTCCACGGCGGGGGTTGGGGGGGGAGCAGGTGACAGTTTACCTTTTGGATCCGAAGCTCATAGCGAAATTTGCGATTGAAATGACTTCTCATTTCCCAGTGCATGAAGGAATGTGTCTCATTACACTCTCCAGTCATGTTGGGTGGAGTTAATTTCTCTAGCAATGAGAAAAGCACTTTTAGCAGTAAAAATCAATTTTTTTTTTTTTCTAGAGATACTTCACACAGGACTGAGCCGTGCTGGGGGCGCTGGGGGAAGTGACCCTCCTTAGGATTTGCATCCTGGGAACCCCACTGTCCTGGGAGCAGCCTTGAGAACCACCCTTTTGGTCACTTCAGTACCAGCTTTTCTGAGGATTGGCAGGTGCACATCTTTGTCCCTGCCCCCTCCATGTCTGGGCTCAGCCCCGCTGGGCAGCCTGGGCCACTCCCCACCCCTGCCCAGCGCCAACCCACACTCCCCATGCCCCCTCTGCCCACCTACAGCCCACTGCAGCCTTGAGGGCCCTCTCCGCAGCATTCAGGATGGGCCCCCCGGAGACTCCTGCACTTTTGACCTGTACACATCCTTCTGGAGCTTCCACTTCCCGGCTTCTCTCCTCCCCCCCACCCC